CAAATCAGCATATTAGAATGATTTCTGAAGGATCATGTGACACTGAAGACTGGAGTAATGATGCTGAAATTTCAGCTTTGCATCACAAGAATAAATTACATTTAAAACAATATTTAAACTGTAATAATATTTCACAATGTAACTGTTCTTACTGCATTTTTGATCAAATAAATGCAGCTTTGGTGAGCATAAGAGACTTCTCTCAAGGATATTAAAAATCCTAATCATTCCAAACTTTTTGACCAGTAGTGTATGTGACCCTTTAATGAGACCTGGAAATGGATGAAAGGCGTCACTCTGTTCCCAAACCTTCCCCGACAATGCTTTTCTAAACACAGGGGACGGAACACAGCAGGCTGAATGGAAGTAAAAATCCCCTCTTATTTAATATCATTCTTATGCAGTAATCAAAACCTCTCATTGTATTTAAAAGCACCCATGGCTAACAATGAGCGCAAAGACAAAAAGAAGAAAAAGCACCTGGTGTTCGGCCCCCCCACCCCCACCCCCCGCAAACACATGGAGAAAAGTCCCAACAACATAAAGCATGGCTGACAAACAGTTGGCCACACTATCAGATATACTCTCAATTGAGCCGGCATTCAGAGCGCACAATGGTGGAGTGGTCTAATATCAGGTAGATGTGTGCTTGAAAGCACCGGCGGTCAGCTCCAGAGGGGCCGGCGAGGAGAATGAGCTCACCGGCTGAAGGAGGCGGAGAGGAACCCGATCCGAAGTGAGAACAACATGCCGCTGAGGAGGGGGAATCTAATACTGACTGACAGCACAAAGGCCTGGGCTCTTTCTCTGGGTTTCTGGCACAGGTACATGTGGGCACATATTTGGCGATCTGACAGGGCGGTATAATCGATATTAACCTGCTCTCCTGTGCTCTGCTCACCTGTTTGGCGGTCTGCAGCAGTGAGGCCGCTTCCGCCTTTCCTGTCTGCTGCACCATCTTGTAGAAGATCCCGTTCTGGTTCTGTAGGAGAACATGGGGGGCGTCGTACTCGTGGATTCGACCCGCATCCAGAACCTGCGAGAAAAACAGACATCTGTTTGTGATGCCTCCCATTTAGGACCATTTTGAACTTGTTCCATAAAATAAACACTAGAACCAAACAGATTTTGGTGAGATTTGGAGCTGCTAACTGCAGCAAATTCATGAATGAATGACTCATATGAGCTGCCTGGTTCTTTTTAATGAATCAAACAAAAATACTCTGTCAGTCATACTCTTGAGTTAAAGCTTTGACTTAGTCTAATGACTCACTCGCTGACTGCTACTGTGATGTGCATTTAGGTTCGTAAAACTAGTGTAGTTTCTGATCATCTAATATAAAGTATATACAAAAAGGACCATAAAAGTACTTTGTGGTATTTCATGCTAAATTTATTGTGCCGTTTTGTCCTTTTTTGAGCTTGATGGCTCCTGGTATATACAGTAGGTCCCAATATATAGTTTTGTTGTATGGTAAAAAGCAGCATGAAAGCTCATACTTCAAAACTATATCTTTTGAATTTCACTGAAGAACCATGCAGGTTTGGAATGATAAAAGATTGAGAAATCATGTAAATTATGACAGAATTTGTTTTTTAACTAGGGCCTTTAACCCTCATAATGCATTCAAAACCTGTATATGATTTCATAACTTAATATTTTTTAGTTAAAACCATATTGTATCTGATTATTCACTTCTCAATCAATGAATGCACAAAAAAAAAAAAAACAGTTTTGAATGTTTTTTTCTTACCATATTATTACCATGTTATTGCTACATTTACCCCTTTTTAATTTTTAATGAAAAAATAGAGAAATTCTTTGAAACTTAACATTTTTACAAGAATTACAAAAAAAAAACCACTGAGAAATGTTATTTGAAAATATCATTATTTGAAATATATGAAATCTCAGAATTACCAGTATAAACACCATTGAAATCTATGGATTTTATTAAATTCCACTGAACACACAGTCCAAATTTATGAAACCGACTAATTCACTTTCTAAAAAACAAAAAACCTCAGCATTACTCCAGAACGTTTACAAATATCAAGCGTAGCGTTAGTTTTGGCAGGTCACGTTAGTCAAGCTCGCATCAGCTGACTCTCAGCTGATCCCCATCTACCTATAGGAATACGACACCTATCTAAGCATTCATATATAAGGTCCCTCAGTATTATCAGCAGTTTTTGCATTGCTCAATAGCTAATTACCCTCCTCCATCCCCAGCTCCACCTCTGTCAGTCGGGATTCAGCCTTCTGATTCTCCTTTGAATCAGACTAATTCAAAATTGTGTACATAAAATTATTGAACTTTAACGATATCTGCAATACATTTATGTTGGTTCTGTTCTGTTTACCCTGGGGGGTTATTGCTGCTCTCCCTGCTCTCATCCATGCTAGGCTGCATGGATGTGCAGCGAGTTTTTGCGCAGAGCAGAACCATACCGCCAATCCAAACTGTATGCTAATTGTCAATCATCGTTGACGATAGTTGTCCTGACAGAAATAATCAGTGTATTTGGATACATTTTCAATCAATTCATCAACAGTTGTGAATATTCATGAAATATGGGAAAGAGGCTAAACATATTTTTCTAAAGCATTTTTGAGACTAATCTAAATTGTAAAGCCTCAGCTGATGTTTGGGTTAAAATGGACCTGAAAATAACTTTTTTTTTAAAAAAATGGTTATGAAATTATGCAAATTAAATGTGTTTAGATAGCCTTGGCTCCTTTGCAAAGACTTTTCCAGGTTTACACATCTCTTCCAGGTCTAAATGGACCTGAATGCATTATGATAAAGAGCTCCATCTCTGCACTCACCAGGATGCGGTCGCTGTCTATGATGGTGTTGAGTCTGTGCGCGATGGTGAGGACGGTGCACTCCTTAAACTTGTCACGGATGGTTTTCTGGATCAGTTCATCCGTCCTATAGAACACATACATTTCTGTTCTCTTATATAGGTCCTTCAACAACCTCAGAGCCAAGTCAAAGGTAGCTAGGTAAAGGACTCACCGAGGGTCCACATTTGCAGTGGCCTCATCAATAATGAGAATCCGGTTCTTCCTCAGAATGGCCCGAGCTAGACAGACGAGCTGCCGCTGACCCATGCTGAAGTTTGATCCGGACTCGGCCAGTTCGGTCTCGAGTTTATTAGGCAACTCCTCCACAGCAGCCTTCAGCTGGACCTTTGAGCAAAAAAAAAAAAGCACAGATTCACACAAAGAGCTGGACTTTGAGATTGCTTAATAATGTATTACATCTATAATAATCACACAAATCTACTGAGGGAACTTCACTTTAGAAAATGGACTTATGAACCCGTTTGACCCATATCTATACGATCCGTCACATGTGGATAGTGTTAAATAAATGTTTTGTGATCAGATTACACAAATGTAACATATGTGATGAGATTAAAATGTGGAGAAACAAATTCAGAAGCAACACAGCGCCTACATTTTGAAAACTTAAAAAAAATGTAGAAACACTCTTGACGTGGTGGACGATGCACAGTATTGATTAACAGGTTGTTTGTTGCTGTTACAAGGAGTGTGCGCGTGTTCACCTCTTCCAGAGTGTTCCATAAGTCATGGTCTGAGTGCTGGGTGAAGGGGTCCAGGTTCTTCCTCATGGTTCCTGTGAACAGCACGGGGTCCTGCGGGATGATCGACATCTTCTGGCGGAGGTCATGCAGGCCGATCTCGGAGGTCAAGACTCTGTCCACAATGATTTTACCCTCTGGCTCCATCAGTCGGAACAGTGCTGAAATCAGGGAGCTTTTTCCTGCACCGGTCCGCCCAACGATTCCAACCTGATCAATTCAGAGCAGAAAACATTACTGCATGCGTCCTGACAGACTCGCATGACGTTCTGGAGCGGCGGCACCAGACTCACCTTCTCTCTGGGTCTGAACATGGCCGAGATGTTCTTGAGGACGACAGGTCCATCAGAACTGTAGGAGAAGTTGACCCTGTCGAAGGTTATCAGACCCCGGTTTGGCCAGTCGGGAGGGGGACGTTTTTGGGTTTCCCAAGGTGCTTCACTTTCTAGCTCGGTGTATTCGATGACTCTCTCCACTGATGTCATCTAGAAGGACACATTATTCACGAAAGCAAATCAATTTATGAGGGGGTGATGGGTTTACCTTGTCGGGTAGATTTAAAATATGAATCAAGTTAGCTCTGTTTCTACATAGGAAGCGGTCTTTGAAGGCAGAAAGCTTTTCCATGTGCATCAACCTACAAGGAACTTCACAGCTGACAGAGCGGAGATGCTCTATATAGGCAGCAACTTGCACACACATCACAGAAATAGTGCTTCCGATTGATTAGTATGTTGTTAAGCTAACAATTCAATACTCCCAATAAGCACAGTACTTTCAGTTCTTTGAAGTACTAAATAAAAAGCATATGTGACCCTGGATGTGTCTTAAGTGTAAATTTTTCAAAATTGAGATTTATACATCATCTGAAAGCTTTTAAATAAGCTTTCCATTGATGTATGGTTTGTTAGGATAGGACAATATTTTGCTGAGATACAACTATTTGAAAATCTGGAATCTGAGGGTGCAAAAAATCTAAATATTGAGAAAATCACCTTTAAAGTTATCCAATTGAAGTCCTTAGCAATGCATATTACTAATCAAAAATTAAGTTTTTATATATTTACGGTAGGAAATTTACAAAATATCTTCATGGAACATGATCTTTACTTAATATCCTAATGATTTTTGGCATAAAAGAAAAATCTATAATTTTGAACCATACAACGTATTTTGTCTATTGCTACAAATATACCCCAGCGACTTGAGACTATTGAGAATATATATGTGACCCTGGAGTTTTGTGGTCCAGGGTCACATATATATTAGTCTGTTCAATTCAGGTTCATAATTCAAAGTTTCCAAGTCAGAGTAATTACGCGGAGGACATTTATGATGCTAAATGTTGTAGGTACCCGTCTACACTTTGAACAAATCTATAAGCATCAAGTAAAATAAGCACCAGAACAGTAGGCAAGGAGGAGGTACACTACCGTTCAAAAGACTTAGGTCAATAAGATTTTTAGAAATTAACCTTTTTTTCAGCAAGGATATAGTACATTGATCAAAAGTGTGAAGACTTTTACACTGCTATTTCTATTTCAAATAAATATTTTTTTTTACACAAAAATATTAAGCAGAACAACTGTTTTCAACATTGATAAGAAATATGTCTTGAACAGCGAATCAGCATATTAGAATGATTACTGAAGGATCATGCGACACTGAAGACTGGAGTAATGATGCTGAAAATTCAGCTTTACATCACAAGAATAAATTACATTTTAAAATATATATTACGATAGAAAAAGTTATTTTAAACTGTAACAATATTTCACAATTGAACAGTTTTACTGAATTTTTTATTAAATAAATGCAGCCTTGGTGAGCATAAGCAAAATTTGACAGGCCCTAAATGTTTGACCGGTAGTGGAAATTTCAGTAAATTCAGATATTAAGTTCTTACCATGTTCTCCACCTCAGCACTCTGTCTAACGCCCCACTGGAACATTCCCATTAAGGTGACTGCATAAGACAAAGCCAATCCCACATCTCCCGCCTTCATACCTGTGAGAACCAGACACAATCTTTTCACAAACTGGTTTAAAAAAAAAGAAATTTATCTGGCATGAATATATGGATGTGAAACAAAGTTCATCTAAAACCCTGGTAAAGATGTTCCCACTGACAGTGAAAAATAAAAATACATAAACCATTGTTTCAAATCAAATTGGGAAAACTTACAATAAAAGACTATTAATTCCTGAGACATGGAACGTCCCACATCACAACTGAAATATTTTCATTTTCAAAGGAAACAGATGCTTACCAGACCATCCTTAACCCAAATGTTATGACATTGTCACTTAATTCTTCATATAGAATAAATTAAATTACACTTAAGAAAAACAAAATGTATAACATGACCATTTAAAAGTTTGTGGGAAAAAATTGCTTTTATCGGCTGATACCGATTATTGGCCGATACATTTGTGCATCTCTAGTGTGTGTATATACATATACAGTATATATATATATATATATATATATATATATATATATATATA